AAACAGTTAGATTAAGACACAAAAACACCACTTAGGACTGAGATACACAATTATATTAAGACACAAACACACCACTAAGGACTGTGAGCGATACACTAAGGACTGAGAGCGATACACAGTTAGATTAACACACAAACACACCACTAAGGACTGAGAGAGATACACAGTTAGATTAACACACAAACACACTACTAAGGACTGAGAGCGATACACATTTAGATTAACACACAAACACACCACTAAGGACTGTTAAGAGATACACAGTTAGATTAACACACAAACACACCACTAAGGACTGAGAGCAATAAACAGTTAGATTAAGACACAAAAACACCACTAAGGACTGAGATACACAATTATATTAAGACACAAACACACCACTAAGGATTTAGAGAGATACACAGTTAGATTAACACACAAACACACCACTAAGGACTGAGAGCGATACACAGATAGATTAACACACAAACACACCACTAAGGACTGAGAGAGATACACAGTTAGATTAACACAAAAACACACCACTAAGGACTGAGAGCGATACACAGTTAGATTAAGACACAAACACAACACTAAGGACAGTTAAGAGATATACGGTTAGATTAAGACACAAAAACACCACTAAGGACTGAGAGAGCTACACAGTTAGATTAACACACAAATACACCACTAAGGACTGAGAGCAATACACAGTTAGATTAACATACAAACACACCACTAAGGACTGAGAGCGATAAACAGTTAGATTATGACACAAACACACCACTAAGGACTGAGAGCGATACACAGTTAGATTAACACACAAAAACACCACTAAGGACTGTGAGCGATACACTAAGGACTGAGAGCGATACACAGTTAGATTAACACAAACACACTACTAAGGAATGAGAGCGATACACATTTAGATTAACACACAAACACACCACTAAGGACTGAGAGAGATACACAGTTAGATTAACACACAAACACACCACTAAGGACTGTGAGCGATACACTAAGGACTGAGAGCGATACACAGTTAGATTAACACAAACACACTACTAAGGAATGAGAGCGATACACATTTAGATTAACACACAAACCCACCACTAAGGACTGAGAGAGATACACAGTTAGATTAACACACAAACACACCACTAAGGACTGAGAGCGATACACAGTTAGATTAACACACAAACACACCACTAAGGACTGTTAAGAGATACACAGTTAGATTAACACACAAACACACCACTAAGGACTGAGACACACCATTAGATTAAGACACAAACACACCACTAAGGAATGAGAGAGATACACAGTTAGATTAACACACAAACACACCACTAATGACTGAGATAAACAGTTAGATTAAGACACAAAAACACCACTAAGGACTGTGAGCGATACACTAAGGACTGAGAGCGATACACAGTTAGATTAACACACAAACACACCACTAAGGACTGAGAGCGATACACAGTTAGATTAACACACAAACACACCACTAAGGACTGAGAGAGAAACACAGTTAGATTAACACACAAACACACCACTAAGGACTGAGAGCGATACACAGTTAGATTAAGACACAAACGCAACACTAAGGACAGTTAAGAGATATACAGTTAGATTAACACACAAACACACCACTAAGGACTGAGATACACAGTTAGATTAAGACACAAAAACACCACTAAGGACTGAGAGCAATACAGAGTTATATTAACATACAAACACACCACTAAGGACTGAGAGCGATAAACTGTTAGATTATGACACAAACACACCACTAAGGACTGAGAGCGATACACAGTTAGATTAAGACACAAACACAACACTAAGGACAGTTAAGAGATATACAGTTAGATTAAGACACAAAAACACCAATAAGGATTGAGAGAAATACACAGTTAGATTAAGACACAAACACACCACTAAGGACTGAGAGCGATACACATTTAGATTAACACACAAACACACCACTAAGGACTGAGAGAAATACACAGTTAGATTAACACACAAACACACTACTAAGGACTGAGAGAGATACACAGTTAGATTAACACACAAACACACCACTAAGGACTGAGAGAGATACACAGTTAGATTAACACACAAATACACCACTAAGGACTGTGAGCGATACACTAAGGACTGAGAGCGATACACAGTTAGATTAACACAAACACACTACTAAGGAATGAGAGCGATACACATTTAGATTAACACACAAACCCACCACTAAGGACTGAGAGAGATACACAGTTAGATTAACACACAAACACACCACTAAGGACTGAGAGCGATACACAGTTAGATTAACACACAAACACACCACTAAGGACTGAGACACACCATTAGATTAAGACACAAACACACCACTAAGGAATGAGAGAGATACACAGTTAGATTAACACACAAACACACCACTAATGACTGAGATAAACAGTTAGATTAAGACACAAAAACACCACTAAGGACTGTGAGCGATACACTAAGGACTGAGAGCGATACACAGTTAGATTAACACACAAACACACCACTAAGGACTGAGAGCGATACACAGTTAGATTAACACACAAACACACCACTAAGGACTGAGAGAGAAACACAGTTAGATTAACACACAAACACACCACTAAGGACTGAGAGCGATACACAGTTAGATTAAGACACAAACGCAACACTAAGGACAGTTAAGAGATATACAGTTAGATTAACACACAAACACACCACTAAGGACTGAGATACACAGTTAGATTAAGACACAAAAACACCACTAAGGACTGAGAGCAATACACAGTTATATTAACATACAAACACACCACTAAGGACTGAGAGCGATAAACTGTTAGATTATGACACAAACACACCACTAAGGACTGAGAGCGATACACAGTTAGATTAAGACACAAACACAACACTAAGGACAGTTAAGAGATATACAGTTAGATTAAGACACAAAAACACCAATAAGGATTGAGAGAAATACACAGTTAGATTAAGACACAAACACACCACTAAGGACTGAGAGCGATACACATTTAGATTAACACACAAACACACCACTAAGGACTGAGAGAAATACACAGTTAGATTAACACACAAACACACTACTAAGGACTGAGAGAGATACACAGTTAGATTAACACACAAATACACCACTAAGGACTGAGAGAGATACACAGTTAGATTAACACACAAACACACCACTAAGGACTGAGAGCAATACACTAAGGACTGAGAGCGATACACAGTTAGATTAACACACAAACACACCACTAAGGACTTAGAGAGATACACAGTTAGATTAACACACAAACACACCACTAAGGACTGAGAGAGATACATAGTTAGATTAACACACAAACACACCACTAAGGACTGAGAGAGATACACATTTAGATTAACACACAAACACACCACTAAGGACTGAGAGAGATACACAGTATATACACAGAGTTATATTACACACTCAAAACACACACAAATAGGCACAGCACTGAACTCACCACACACAGCGCTGCCATAGAATTCCCAATAGATTACTGGGTCGTCATCAGAGCGGCCCTGCAGGTCAGCAAAATAATCTACAGGGAGAAGAGAGGGACAAACAGTATTTTAGGCGAAAGAGAGAGACAGAGAGAGATAGAGAGAGAGAGAGATAGCTGGCTTGGTTCAGGCCAAGGCTACAGGAATCTGCTAAAAATGAACCACACACACACACACTCTCTCTCAAGCATATCACACAGATCCGGAAACACACACACACAGATATCGGCACACACATCCTGAGTACATGTGTGTGCACACGCACACACACACAGAGGAAGGCATTTAGACACAGTGAGTACTGGGAGCGTCTGCATGCGCACACACACACAAACCTAGCACACACACACACAGATAGTGCAAGTGAGAGCTGGGCTGAGTGCCAGTACTGACGCGTTGGGCGTATGGCGTGTGTTTGGAGGGATTAACGGCCTCCAGATGAGTGGGACCAGGTGGAGGGAGGAGTACACACACACACAATCTCTGTCGCTTGCTCTTTCTGTCTCTGTTTCTCGCTCTCTCTGTAGCTCTCTCTGTCTATCATTCTAAACCTCTCTCCAGTGCCTTTCTCTATATCCACCTCCACCTGAATAGCACACTCAATCTGTATCACTACGAGTTTCTCTTTTACCATTATTCTCTGTCTTCTCCCTCACTCTGCCTCTTCCTCTCCCTTTCTCGCCTTCTCTCTCAAGGTCGGCTGTCTGTCTCAGAGGTAATTGGGTTTTACTTGTTAGGGGTCTGTGTGTGTGTGGTTCCTTTTCTTCCTCCATGTGTATGTCGCACAGAGAGCTCATTTGTCTCTCTCTCACACACACACACACACACACACACACACACACACACACACACACACACACACACACACACAGACACAGACACAGACAGACACAGACACAGACACAGACACAGACACAGACACAGACACAGACACACAGACACAGACACAGACACACTGTTTCTAGTCTCTAGAGTGAGTGTGCTCTCTGAGAAGCCCATGTCCGCACGTACACTAAGCAAACAGAGCGGATGTTGCTAAGTTACCAGATAGGCGAGAAAGCACGCACTCTGGCCAACTGAATCCCCTCACACAGGTGGTCTGGGGGTGGGGAGGGAGAAGGGACTGTTTTCAGCGTGTCTGTATGTGTGTGTTTGTGAGAAAGAAAGAGAGAAAGAAAAGGAGAGAGAAAAAGAGAGGGAGAAGGAATGTAAATGGTGAAGAGATTTTGGGCTAGGGAGTATGAGGGGTATAATGTGGTATAGAAGCAGTATATGAGGGGTATAATGTGGTATAGAAGCAGTATATGAGGGGTATAATGTGGTATAGAAGCAGTATATGAGGGGTATATGAAGGGTATAGCAGGGATACAGTAGTTAGTGACTGACCAGTGAGGAATCGCTCCATGCTGTCGCTGTGGGTCATCTTGAGCAGACCGCGGCCGGAGTAGGTGACCAGAGTAGGGTCAGCCCCGTAGGACAGCAACACCCGAACTACGTCCAGATGGTCATTCTCCACCGCGTCATGCAGAGGCCTGGACACACACACACACGAATGAATATTGTCTTCAAGGAAAAACACATTATGAGATACACATTGTGTGTGTGTCCATTTCTGCATATTAGTGTGTGTGTGTATACGGCTTTATGTGTGTTATGTGTGATGTGTGTGTGTGTGTTTTTGTATCACTCTGTGTAATGTATAGGGCATTGTGAATGTACCTGGTGCCGTCCTGTGCACTGCAGTTGATGTCGGCACCGTGCTCCAGCAGGTGTATGACTATGGAGATCCAGCCGCGGGCGCAGGCCTCGTGGAGTGCACAGTAGCCTGCATAGTCCCTGTGGTTCACCTCACACACACGGTTCTCCAGGCAGTACAACACCACCTCCTGCAGAGGACAGAGGGAGGGAGGTACAGATGAGTGTGTGTCTACACCACAAAGAACTGGACACACACATGCACGCTGCACGCACACAGAACGCGCACGTGTGCACACACACACACAACAGCACAGCAAGAATCCAAACCCAGAATTGGGACAACAACAATGACTCAGATAGAGCTAGTCTGTCTAACTCTGTCTGTCTGTCGTTCGTTCAACTATGGCCATGGTTGGAACACACTGTTGTAGCGCTTACGGCTGGAATCAGAACACACACAGATACACTTCCGGTCAAAAGTTTTAGAATACCTACTCATTCAAGTTTTTTTTTTTTTTTTACTATTTTCTACATTGTAGAATAATAGTGAAGACATCAAAACTATGAAATAACACATATGGAATCATGTAGTAACCAAAAAAGTGTTAAACAAATCAAAAAATATTTTATATTTGAGATTCTTGAAATAGCCACCCTTTGCCTTGATGACAGCTTTGCACACTCTGGGCATTCGCTCAACCAGCTTCATGAGGTAGTCACCTGGAATCCATTTGTTTAACACTTTTTTGGTTACTACATGATTCCATATGTGTTATTTCATAGTTTTGATGTCTTCACTATTATTCTATAATGTAGAAAATAGTACAAATAAAGAAAAACCCTTGAATGAGTAGGTGTTCTAAAACCTTTGACCGGTAGTGTAGAGTGGAGTGGGAAAAAACTGTTCAAACTGTTCAGGAGTTGGAACCAATTATGTGGTTATGACAATGAGAGACGGAACACAGAGAGGGTTGGGCTGGGTTCCATTTGGTGTTCATCATCTCTTGTTACTAACCAACCTGAGGGAGCTGACACATTGACGCTTTACATGAACACCGCTAGCGGTGTGTGGAAACTTAAGTCTTGAGTGGAACGATTGCACAGCTTTGTTCTGGTAGTGTAGGGGTTATATGTGTCTTTATGGGGGTGCTCATTCAAAAAGAGAGCATTGGCACACGCACACGATCGCTCACACACACGTACGTGCCTCGCACACACACACTCACACACACTCATATGAACCTAGGGAACGGTTCCAAACTTCCATTTCTATGCTAATTCTGGACAGCCGTCGACTGCAAGTGTTTATCATACACTTTCTCTCTGAGAGCAGGAGGAGAGGAAGAGAGGAGATGAGGAGGGAGGAGGGTAGTGGAGATGGAACAGGAGGAGTGGAGGAGACAAAGAGGAAAGGGAAATGAGGAAGAGGAGATAAGGAGAATGAACAGAGGAGGAAGAGGAGGGGGAATATAGAGTGAAGGAGAAGGAGAGGAAGGAGAGGACAAAGAGAAAGAGGAGGAAGAAGGATAGAAGTCCTCTAGCTCTGCCAACTGGAAATGGACTCAGGAGTGTACCCAAGCTCCAAGACTCCTCTTGCTGTGTGTGTATGTGTGCGAGTGTACGTCTCAGAGTGTGTGTGTGTGTGGCGGAAACCTAGCGCTAAACCTCTGGAGCCGTGTTTAATATCGCTGTGAGAGAGTGAGGAGCTTAGCACGAGAGCTCCAGCTCACAGCCAGACACACACACACTCCTCCGCAGTAAAATGAGACGCTCTCCCTCCCTCCTCCTCTTCCTTCTCTCTCTACCCCTGTCCTCTAATCTCCCTCTCTAGAATGCTTCCCTGCGCTCAACTGCAATCAATGCATCCCTCAGACATTTAACCCCTTACACACAACCATCATCACACCACACATCACAACAGCTCTCTGTGTGTGTGTGTGTGTGTGTGTGTGTGTGTGTGTGTGTGTGTGTGTGTGTGTGTGTGTGTGTGCGCGTGTGTGCCAGGACCACAGAGTGTGATCCCTTGCCAAGCCTTGCGAGTCGACAGGAGAGGCAGAGAAATCTGCTAAACACATACAGAGAAGGAAAGCTATGTATCACACACATGCATGCAAACACACACACAGAAATAGCAATACATTTATAGCATTTCTGGCTATAAGTCAGTGGTGAGGAGCTGAGCAGTATGGATGTAGAATGAGGCTGTATGTCTGAGCTGAAGCTGATGGGACCAAGCCCAGAGAGAAAGATGAAGATATCCACAGAGTCTCTTCTCATTACCATTTAAAATGCTGAAAGAGAGAGAGCAAGGGAGGGAGAGAGAGATAGAGAGAGGAAGAGAGAGAGTGGGCTTTCATGTGAAGCGGCACGAAGGGCAAAACTAAACCAACATGAAATATGCAGAATGCAGAGTGTTGGCTAGGGCATGCCAGGCGTGTGTGTGTTAAGTGTGCGCGCACGGGGGAGAGAGAGACACAGTGAGTGTTGGGAAGGGAGCATGAGTATGCTAGTGTGTGTGCTTACTGGGTCACTGTGTGTGTGTATATGTGTATATATGTGTGTGTGTGTGTGCATGTGTGTGTGTATATATGCGTGTGTGTGTGTGTGTCTCAGCTTTCATGTCTCTCTGCCTGCGTGTGAGAAGCGTGAGACGCTCTGTGTATGTGTGTGTGTATATGTATGTGTGTATGTGTGTGTGTGTGTGTGTGTGTGTGTGCAAGCCCCGGGGGTCTGCCCCAGGCTTATCGCACACAGGCAGTGAGAGACGCGCTTCCTGAGATGGAGAGGGAGAGAAAAAAGAGAGAGGGAGGGAGGGATAGGGGGAAGGAGAGAACCTGAGACTACACAAACAAGGCGCTGACCGCTGCACAAACAACAACCCCGCCTTCTCCTCCTCCCTCCCTCCCTCCTTCTTTCCCCTCGACACATGGAGGAGAGGAAGGAGAAAAAAAAACGCTCTGAGAGAGACGCATAAATCAGAGCCGAGCCGGCTGACTGAGCCCCGCTGCTGCGCTGCGCCCGGTTGTGTGTGTGTGTGTGTGTGTGTGTGTGTGTGTGTGTGTGTGTGTGTGTGTGTGTGTGTGTGTGGAGAAGAACAGCCGCCGCCACTGCTAACCACAGTCACCACGGCACATTAGAGGGCCATTAGAACACAATTATACTCCCAGCGCTTACCTCTTAGCCACACACACACACACACACACAACCGCACACACACCCTACCCACCCTTCTTACTGCACCTATTTAACAGCCCCATCAAGACACCTCCATCAGAGATGAATTACACACACACACAGAGAGAAAGATTGACTGACACACACACGGCTGTACAGGCACACATGCTGCAGAGAAAGGAGAGATAATAGATGATAGACAGACACATAGTCTGCATGTGTTGAAAGGCGCTGAGAGAGGACCAACGCAATCCTGTGGAAATGAAACCAGGGGTTATAAAGAAATACAGGCTGGGTCTGTTTTAAACACACATAGTGGGCCGGGGGGGGGTTAATTAACAGCAATCTAACTGTCACTGACAGCCCACTTAATGAACTACAGCCCAGAGAGAGAGTCAGAGAGAGAGAAAGAAAGAGAGAAGGGAGGGAGGGAGGGAGGGAGGGAGGGATGGAGGAGGGAGGGAGGAGGGAGGAGGGATGTGGCCCCTGTGGTGTTGGTGTGGTGTTCACTAGTCAGTCATGTGTGTGGCTCTGATCAAAGAGGGGGCTAAGTAGGCCTCTGGGGAGAGCAAAGAAAATCGGGAGGACAGAGAGAGAGAAGAGGGAGCTAGAGATAGAGGCGAGGGAGGGAAGGACAGAGAGAGAGAAAGAGGGAGGAGAGAGAGAGCGAGGGAGGAGAGAGAGAGGGCGAGGGAGGAGAGCGTGAGCAGCGAGGAGGAGAAGAGAGGAGGCGAGGGAGGAAGCGTGAGATCGCGGAGAGAGATAGAGTTGAGGGAGGAAGCGTTGAGCGCGAGGAGGAGCAGCGTGAGAGCGAGGGAGGAGAGCGTGAGGCAAGAGGGAGATTGCGAGAGCGGAAGGAAAGCAGGGAAAGGAGCGGGAGTGTGTGAGATCAGAAAAAGCTGTGCCACAACAGAGACGGAGCACAAACATACACACACACGCACACACACACACACACACACACACACACCATATAGGCGGCTCGGTCTCTGCCCCCAGGAGAAGCCCTGACAAAACCATCGGGTAGTACTGGTCACATGCCACACTCGTTCAAAAAAAGAACTGATCTATTGTCCTCGCATCCTTGTAAGTCCCGCCACACTCATCCCTCCTATCTCCAGACCTCATTCCTAAGCAGAGCATTATTCCACAGGGAAATACAACATTCCCACAATTCACTGCAGGGAAAATCCGGATTCACAGCCCAGCAGGGAAAGAGTTAAAAACTACCAAAATAAAAAAAAGATTAGAGAGGAAGAGAAAGGTGAGAGAAAGAGAGGAGAGAGAAAGAGAGGAGAGAGAAAGAGAGGAGAGAGAAAGAGAAGAGACGATCAAGAAGCTCTCTCCCCCCTTCTCTCTCTCTATTCTCCTCCCTCTTCTCTCTTCCTCCCTTCCTTACCCTCCTTCGCCCTCGCGAGAGTGTCTGTGTGTGAATGTGAAGCAGCATTTAGTCTGCTTGTGAGCCCGACGATCCCTACGTGCTTCAGTGTTTGTGTGTGTGTGTGTATGTGTCTGTGTGTACGTGCCAACAACAATGTGAGTCACAAAGAGGGAGGGACAGAAGAGAGAGCGCTGGGAGGAAAGAGGGGGTGGAGAGCGAGGAGGGGGGGGGGGGTTTGGGGGGAACTGAGAGGGAGAGCGAGGAAACAGAGAGAAAAGGAGAGGGAGAGAGGGAGAGCGAGAACAAAGACAATATTTGTCTTACCTCGTATCCGAGCCGTGCTGCTCTCTGTAACAGCGTTTCTCCAGCGTTCTTGTTGACGATTAGTCTCCGCGCCTCTGGGGGGATGGGCCGCACCACAGGAGGCTCAGCAGGCGGGGCCCTCCTCACCCCTGCTCCCTCCAGTGGGACTGTCCCAGAGCCCTTCACCTGAGGGGGTAGCGAGGGCGGCCGCATCGCGGGGGAACAGGGCTTGACCGGAGAGCCGAGGTAATGGAGGGGAGAAGAGGGTCTCTTCCTCCGAGCACACTGCTCACTGACCTGGGGAAGAGAGAGACAGGAGGAGGAGGGGGTTAGCAAGAACACACACACACACACCAATTCAGATATAGCTAGTCACACACACATACAGACAAACGCTCTCTCACACATGAAGCCGTACCCTCACACAACGTGTCTGTGTGCCCCCCCCCCCCCCAGCGGAATTCCGTGTCGGAGCAGCTGTTGTAATCTGAAGCGAGGGATGGGAACGGTGCGAGCGGAAAACAACTAGCCTTTTTTTCCCTCTCCTTTTTTCCCTTTCAACTCCGACACTTTAGACACTCAGCCACCACATTCCTGTGAGCTGTGTGGGCGAGAGAGAGAGAGAGAGAGAGAGAGAGAGAGAGAGAGAGAGAGAGAGAGAGAGAGAGAGAGAGAGAGAGAGAGAGAGAGAGACAGAGCGAGACAGAGAGAGAGAGAGACAAGAGAGAGAGACAGAGAGAGAGAGAGACAGAGAGACAGAGAGAGAGAGAGAGAGACAGAGAGAGAGAGAGAAGATAGAGATAGAGAAGATCAGAGATAAAGAGAGAGACAGAAGAGAGAACAGAGAAAGAGAGAGAGACAGAGAAAGAGAGAGACAGAGAAAGAAGATAGAGACATAGAAAGATAGAAAATATAGAGATAGAGAGAGATAGAGATAGATATATATATAGAGATATATTATATCTATTTAGGATTTATATTCTGATTTTCGAGGATATAGATTTGTGTAATTGAGTGCTCTACTGCTCAAATGCTCCAGGGTTTTCTCGTTATGTAAAGAATGCACATACACTCACACAGTGTTGGCATTGACCTACACAATAACACACACTCCCAACGCTTGAAGCCGGAGATAAACACACAGACACACACACACACACACACAAACACGCACACTTACACACACACACACACACACACACACACCCACCCACATACACACACACACTAAGATACCTTTCATACCAAGACGTTTTCTGCTAATTTTACCATGCCACCAACTTTTTGCTGCTTTTTCTTTATATCTGAAAGGTATTGCCGGCAACAAAGCCCTGTACTTTTATTTCTGCCAACCGACCTAGTAATGATTGCGGTAATGTATTTAAAAGTCCCGCCAACCCCTCAGTATAAACGTCGCCTTCCATCTTACCATCTTTGGCACGCATTAAATCATGAATATTCTATTGTTGTCTGACATCAAACCTGTCCTTCACAGAATTAGGTTACATTTATTCTCTCCATTTAAATGTATGTAGTTCTGTCCTTGAGCTGTTCTTGCCTATTGTCACAAAAATGCTTGGGGGAATCCAACATCCAACGTGGATCAAAAAAGCTACTTTCTGAAATCATCCTACAGAGGTTCATTCAGATCAGATTTTTAATTTATTGACATGATCGGAAGGAGCAGATTCTAATGCTTCTATGACAAAAGAAAATGAGAACAAAATACAACTTTTCTGTTATATGACAGCGGTTCAACATGGCCGTGACACTCAAGTTGTTTGGAAAAAATATGATTTCTATTTTATTCTGGCATATTCCATTTTATTAATTCTTACTTTAAAATATAGGCCTGTTGACTGATCAGGGCAGGGGAATGTAGGCCAAGTGTGTCTCTTGTCTCTTTAATTAACAAAATAAGAACTATTGATTTCATTTGTATGGCGCAGCCATGGGCTGCACAGACCAGTAACATAATTAAACTCAAAATATGCTATTCTATTCTTTTGAAAATAAATGTTATTAGTCTTATGTTTCTTAGGATGTGCATAAACAAATTAATAATGGATTTTCTTTGTCTAACCAGCTCATATTATTACCACAACTTTTTATTCAACATAACAGGGAAATACAAGGATAATATTTACCAATTATTTACAATTATACAACGTGTGGGTCTAATCCTAAATGCTGATTGGTTAAAACCACATTCCAGCCAGTGTCTATTCCACAAGTTACCAAGGGCTAAATCTATTACATTAAAATGCCTATTTACTCTGTTCCATCTGACTTCGCAATCCACTGTTTCATCAGCCCAGCCAAGCACTTTATAAACTTGATCTCCACTATAAAAAGCATCTAGACATTATCTCACATTTCTTTTAGACTAACATTTAGTTTTCAACAGAGGATATTTGTATAAACCTTGCCGTCTGTCTCTCCAACATTTGTAATATTGTTTCAATATTCAAATAAGATTTCCTGCTGTCCCATAGTAATGAACGTATAGGGGTCGGGAGTTGGGACGAGACAGACAGGCAGGCAGCGTTTCTCAGCCAGTCGAAATTATGAATCAGCTGGCATCATTTTTATGGATATATACAAAGAAATGTCAATTGAAAAAAGGTCAAACGAAACGTGCAGCTAGTTTGCAGTCTTTCCAGCTTCAGTTTGAAGTGATTGTGTTTGCTGTGATGATGGCTAGCTCCTCTGAACAACAGTGTCCTGACGAGAGAGCACATTTTCTATGCCAGGCGAAATCATTACTCATTAGCTCATTGTTATGGATAGGTCAAAATAAATGTTACTAGAAAACAGCTTAAACAAATGCAAATGCAGCTAATGTTGTTATTCTGGCTGCACTGTTTGACGTGACTGTAAGTTAGCCGTAGTTGGCTAGCTAGTAAGCAAGGGATAAGAACGTTGCCACCCAGTATGGCAATGGAACATTTAGAACGAAGGACTGGGTCACGTCCATAGATACAGAACAAAAAGACTGAACGACTGGGTCGTGTCTCTGGCAACCGAACCGATAGAACGAACGACCAGCCGGCTTGGGTAGCAACCCTAAAGCGAGAGTGTCTGTGTGTGAATGTGAAGCAGCATTTAGTCTGCTTGTGAGCCTGATGATCCCTACGTGCTTCAGTGTCGGGACTATATCTTGTGGAAGGATGAAATAGTACGAATAAATTCATCAAAATAACGTTTTTAATGAAAATATGTCAATCATTATTTGAATATGTTGGTAACCCGTTGTATAGAAGTGATAATGCCCTCGAAGCCGGTGTTTGGAGGATATATTGGCATGGTTTTCCGGCCCTCGACTTCATCTTGGGCCTAACAACACCCATGCCAATATATCCTCCAAACACCGGCTTCTCGGGCTATGGCAAGCTGCTAACTTACTGTTGTGAATGTGAAGAAATTAAAGCAGTGGAAGGTCTGAATTTAAAGGAAGGAATCTAGAACATGCAGCTGTCAGGTTACCATGACAATGGTCATAAAAACAGGGTAAAAGTTGAATGTCTCTTGCTCCTTCCTGGTAAAAGAAATGGCTATATAAAAGGTGAATACCGATAAGAGAGGTAAAATTAGGGCTGTTTGAAAGAAACATTGCCCAATTGTTTTTACAGGCAAAATACCTTGAATACTATGTCAAAGAAGTGTAATACACACAAAAACACACACACACAGAACAACAACACACACACACACAAACATACACACACAAAAACACAATCCACAGGGAGTTTTCCAGGGCAGGAAGATGTCAGAGCAGCAGCAGCACTCTAAACATCGTAAACATATTTAATCCCTTTCTCTCTCTCATTCCCCCTTCTCCCTCTCAGTCTCTCTATTCCATGTAATTTCAGCAACCCATGACATCCACCATCTCAGATTGTTCTGAAATTGTTTCTGTAGTTAGAAACAGGTAGGATTGTTGTTTCTGAAACATTATTTTGTTGAAATTAAATTTTATCTTGGAGAAATTAAGCTAATTGATTGCACCCAAATTGTCAATGTTCATGTAATTTATAGGATTCAGATAATATTCAATAAATATAGTACCCAACATCTGATTTAAGACATGAGGAATCCCCCTAAAAATTCAAAACCCACCCACGGACCCCCCCACACCCCATGCCAATCCCACGCCAACAGCCAGTATACAGTATCAGTTCTCTATGTTTGACAAATAGTATGAAGCTGCGGCTTGGAGTATTGTTTCTCCATACTATGTAATGTATTCCTTCTGATTATGTTTTTTTCTCCTGTTCAGAGAAATTGGTCATCGAAGTCGCTTGCATTATTTACCATAAATTAGTGTGAAAGTACTAGGTTTTGACCACTAGATGCCACTGTTCCTGCTAAACCGCAACACTCATCAATTTTGCTGGTCTCTTGTGTATATTAAATAGATCACAACATTTCCTTTGCAACTTTGGGTACAAAACCAATTGGCATAGCGTTGTCCAGGTTAGGGGAGGGTTTGGCAGGTGGGGTTTTACTTGGCTCATCGCGCTCTAGCGACTCCTTGTGGCGGGCTGGGCGCCTGCAAGCTGACTTTGGTCGTCAGTTGAACGGTGTTTCCTCCGACACATTGGTGCAACTGGCTTCCGGGTTAAGCAAGCAGGTGTTAAGAAGCACGGCTTGGCGGGTCATGTTTCGGAGGACGCATGACTCGACCTTCGCCTCTCCCAAGCCCGTTGGGGAGTTGCAGCGATGAGACAAAAACGTAATTGGATCGCAATTGGATATCATGAAATTGGGGAGAAAAAGGGGAAAAAATAAAATATAGAAAAAATAAAAATAAAAAGGATAGTTGGGTTGAAGGATTAGGTTGCTATTAAGACAAACGGAATTGTTTTCATGGAGGACTGGCTTGAATTGTGAGGATGACCACACAATTTATTTTCATAATGAGACAGATCTATTGGTTTTCTACCCAAAGTTGCAAAGTAAATGTTGTGATCTAGTTAATGAACACAAGAGACCAGCAAAATTGATAAAGAGTGTGGTGGTATAGCAGGAACAGTGGCATCTAGTGGTCAAAATCTGTTACTTTCACACTACTTTATGCTAAATAATGCAAAGCGACTTCAATGGCTAATTTCTCTGAACAGGGGAAAAAAACATCACCAGATTCACAGGGAATGCATTACATAGTATGGAAAAGCACTACGACAAGCCACAGCTTCATACTACTTGTCAAACATAGAGAACTGGTTGTTGGGATGGCTTTTGCATTGGGTGTGGGGTGTGGGGGGTCCGTGGGTGGTTTTTGACCTTTTCTTTTTATTTATTCCTCATGTCTTACTCATTGGTAGGAAGAAGTTTGATCCAAATTGGATGTTGGGTAATATATTTATTGCATATTATCTGAATCCTATAAATTAAAATGGCCAATTTGGGTGCAATCGATTAGCTTAATTTCTCAGAGATCAAATTATATTTCAACAAAATAACATTTCAGGAACGCTAATAGTATCTGTTACTAACTACAGAAACGATTTCAGAATAATCTGAGATGGTGGGTGTCGAAATCCTCTTTCTTGTGCTTTTTGAGGTGGAACGACCCTCCTCGATCCACTGTCTCTGTAATTTATCTCACCGTCTCTCCCAGGCCCATTCTAGCCTGTTAAATCTGACACCAGACCTGTTAACACTGAAACGCCAATGACTCCACCACACTCACCTTGTCCTCCAAAGCTGCTCCCAGATCAGTGCTTCCATGTTGGTTGCTGCTGCCATTCAGCAGCTCTCTCCTCCGCTCCCTCTCTCTCTGGCTGGTGTGTTTGGTCTTGCACGGCCGCTTGCCCTTGGGTTTGTCCGTGTTGCTATGACGACGGGGCTTGAGAGAGGCGGTGTCTTCGGTGGGGGGCTCAGGGGCCGAGGAGGGGGGGCACTGACCCTCAGTCTTCACCCCCAGCCCTCCTCTCCTGGGCTCCTTGGATCCCCAGTCACAGCCTGGCCCCATGAGGGGCCCCTGGGGGGCAGATCTGTCCCTCTGCTGGGTCGAAGGGAGCAGTCCAACTACAGGACAGAGAGAGAGAGGGAGAGAAAGAATGCAAGTTTAGAAAGGAAGAGAAAGACATTCACTGTGAAAGAGAGACTGAAGGATAGGGGTGCAGAGGTAAAGCTCGACTAGCTCTCTACGTCTGCTGATTTATTAATGAGGATGAATATCTCTGTCTGGGAGCGCGCGCACACACACACACACACACACACACAAGCACACACACACACAAACACATTGTAGAGGCACTCTCAGTTTGAGTAATGAGTAAATGCAATTCCCACTGTCTTTTTTCAACCTCACACACACAGTGAAGAAGTACCCATGATGGACATTTTAAAAAATGTCCTTGAAATTACAATGGCTGGAGGGTGAGGGTGGTTGGCCTACAAGTCTAAATATTTTCTTCCCTGGAAAACACATTACACACACACTGTCTCTTAAAGCTCCCCCCAATACACTCACCCGTACATACATCAGTCACACCCACACCAGTAGACACACTCACCCGTACACACAGTGGTGGAATATTACGCCTCATTAACCCAGGACAGTGGTTGCCGTAGTGCTGTAATTAAATAGGTCGGAGGAGGGCGACGCCTCGCTGTCAATCATACTCTCTGGTTACCACGGAATCATCAAGACAGCAGGTAATACCCTTTCTTACTCTCCTTCTTTAATCCCTCTCTCTTTCTTAGTATATTCATCTCACACTTTTTCTCAACTGTGGTGTGAGCACGGGGAAAGCCCTAGTTTAACACTCTCTCTCTGTCTTTCTCTCTCTCTTTGTTTTTCTCTCTCTATTTGACTGGCCTTGAAGGGAAACAGTCATTCATCACACGTTAGTCACACTACACCTTCCCCCATATTTCTAAAAGGCATGTGCACGTGCTCTCACTCACACACACACACACACAGGCTCACACACAGGCTCACACACACACACACACACATTCAGATATTCCTGCTACACCATCATGTCTGTGCCAGTTACCAGTTAATCTGACTATTCTCTCATTATTAATTGTATTTATTTATAAAATGTAAGGGCTTTCTGTATTGTTATCTAATGTTGGTGGGCCATATATACCTGTTTTAATGATACTCCTCAATTTCCCTTAAGTGTACTTTTACAGAGATGAGATTTACTTCAAAATGCATTCACCCTATTGCTTACACATATCAAGTTGTTTCAGATCTACACAAGTGCCTAGGGAGGAGGGGTTAGGGTTTGTTCTGGACAGGGCCTACCTATACTGGCCCAATAAGCACATGCCATAGAGCTATCCCTTATTGGGACAGTGGTTAGTGTGTTCATCATTGGTGCTGGTGGCCCGGGTTCAAGACCTGCTAGGGGAGTCACCCTACTCTCACATTCTTAGCAATATACTGTATGTTAATGTCATTATTTGGCAACAGTTACAACACACCTATCTGATCTAATTAAAATAAGTATCTAATTGAAAGATGGGAATCGGTAGAATTCTCGATAGCTGAGCATCTACAAGACAACGCTCTATCATCTTTTTGAAATCCACGCCACATATATCATGTAGAACAAACATGTCTCTGATTAGGAATCACATCAGCTCACATTGCATTTCTATCTGGAACATTCCAATGTGTTGCCAAAACATGGCCCAGGTGGTGGTGTTGCTTCTGATAGAAATATACGTAGGTTGCCATATTCTCAGAATATCAGAAATGTGTATATTTACAGTAGCATGTCTTTACTTTCTCACATTTGCCATTTAAGCAATGATTATGCCAGTTATACCAAAACAATGCACAACACAGAGTTCCATCTCCAAGCTTTAACGTGGAAAAACAGACAAACTGCAACAGAATCACTTGACATACATGGTATGTGGTGTTGATTTCAAGAAGACAGTGGAGAGATGCTCAGCTATATAGAATTAACAAATACTGATAACTTATGAGAGGTAGTGGAAATGTGGTTATAATTCATGCTCAAGGCGTAATCCTACAGATTCCCATCTTTCAATGAGAAACTCATTTTAATTAGATCAGATCGGTGTGTTGTAACTGTTGCCAAATAATGACATTAACATAGAGTATATTGCTAAGAATGTGAGAGCAGGGTGACTCCCCTAGCGGGTCTCGAACCCAAGCCACCAGCACCAATGACAAATGCCCTCACCACTGTCCCAATAAGGGATATCTCTCAAGCAAGTGCTTATTGGATCAGTATAGGTAGGCCTTGTCCAGAACAAACCCCGCTTCCCTAGGCACTGAAACAACTTGATAGGTGTAACCAATAGGGTGAATGCACTCTGAAATAAATCTCAGCTCTGTTAAAAGTACACTCAAGAAAATATTTTATTGATCATAATGATTCAGGAGTATCATTAAAATATATGGCCCACCAACATTAGACAACTATACAGAAACCCCTTAAATTGCTGAAATAAGCAAATAAAATCAATGATGAGGGAATAGTCAGATTAACTGATACCTTACACGGACATGGAGGTGTAAAGATCAGCGTACCGTGAACCAAGAGGCTGTGAGTTCAAATCCCAGTTGAGGACATGTTGAATAATAATTACCGATTAATTGAACATGCCCAATGTAATCCTGTGTGTCAAATATATAAGTTCAAAACTATCTTAAAAGCACTGTGTGTGAGTATCCCTAACCTTACCAATAGACAAAGAGCTGTGAATGGATCAGTGGTTCACCAATCAGGGCATTGATTGGCTCGGCAACAGTAACATGATATGTAATGATTCTTTGGGGGGGACACAAATGTTTTTCCAACGTTCCCATGGAACGTTAATATCTTACGTTCTGACCTAATGAGACTCTTAAAGGAACGTTCTCTAAAGTTGTGGGAACGTTAGTTGTTAGTTTTAACCACAGACACAGCCTCTCTAACACTCTAAACCCTAAACACTCTAAAGAGACCTCCACAGGCCCTCTGGACCCAGCAGGAAGTGTCCTCCTACGTCACTTCCTGTCCACTCTGCTGGGAAAGCCCCTGATCCCTGGCAGGCTGACTACGCCGCTAATGTAGAGAGGAAGTGACATCACAAAGCACAGGGATATTGAAGGCTAAACCTGTCACGACCTCCGTCGAAGCTGCCTCCCCTCCTTGTTTGGGCAGGCTTCGGCGTTCGTCGTCACCGGCCTACTAGCCACTGCCGCTTCATTATTCATCATTCCATTTGTCTTGTCTTGTCAATCACACACACCTGGTTCTTATCCACTCATTAGTCCATGTATAAGTGTTCCCTCTGCCCCCCTTGTCTTGTGGGTGATTGTTTAATTGTGAGAGTAGTGTAGCTCGGTGGAGCTACTCGTACCTTGTTATTGCCGGGGTAGATATTTCCCCTGTGCCTGTTATTGTTGGAGCTACCGTTACCTTGTATTGCCAGGGTAGATTTTCCCCTGTGCCTGTTTCGTTTGTCCAGCACTATTTGTGTACGATGGAATACCCTCCTGCGCCTGCTCCTTCTATCACACTCATCACAAAACCATAGAGAGCCTAGATTAACTTCTGTCTGTGGCTTCAACACTGCTGTCAGAGAGGAGATATTGAGGAGATGCGAAGGACATAAAAAAAGATATGGAACAGCTTATTGCAAAGTAAAGTCTATGTACCGGGGGGCTAGGGTTAGTCTATTATATCTGGTGTATATCTGGTGTTATTCTCCTGTCTTATCCGGTGTCCTGTGTGAATTTAAGTATGCTCCCCCTAATTCTCTCTCTCTCCCTCCCATCCCGGAGGACCTGAGCCCTAGGACCATGCCTCAGGACTACCTGGCCTGATGACTCCTGGCTGTCCCCAGTCCACCTGGTCGTGCTGCTGCTCCAGTTTCCACTCTTCTGCCTGCAGCTATGGAACCCTGACCTGTTCACCGGACGTGCTACCTTGTCCCAGACCTGCTGTTTTCAACTCTCTCTCTCTACCGCACCTGCTAGTTCAACCTCTAAATGCCCGGCTATGAAAAGCCAAGTGACATTTACTCCTGATGTACTGACCTGTTGCAACCTCTACAACCACTGTGATTATTATTTGACCCTGCTGGTCATCTATGAATGTTTGAATATCTTGGAGAAAAATCCAATGTACTGTTATAATCTCCACCCGGCACAGCCAGAAGGGGACTGGCCACCCCTCAGAACCTAGATCCTCTCTAGGTTTCTGCCTTTCTAGGGAGTTTTTCCTAGCCACCGTGCTTCTACATCTGCATTGCTTGCTGTTTGGGGTTTTAGGCTGGGTTTCTGTATAGCACTTTGTGACATCTGCTGATTTAAAAAGGGCTTTATAAATTACATTTGATTGATTGATTAAAGACTGCTCCATACTGTACATAGTAGGAGTAAAAGCCCACTACCACTGGCGACAAGGCTACAGGACAACCCCACAGAGACAATCAGAATCAGACAACTCAGACAGACTGCAGACAGACTGCCTACCTCGTTTAGCGTCTCCATTAGCCAGCATCTCTCTGGCCCAACTCTTCGTGATCTCTGGCTTCTGTGACAGAGGTTTCACTTCCGGGTCAACCTTGAACTTCCTGTCCTGAGTGGGCGGGGCATGGGCTGGGGTCCAGGTTGGGGTCGGGGGTAGTGGCCGGGGCAGGAAGGAGGGACTGTGATGTGATGACCATGTCCTCTCCTCTTTGACCTCTGGCCTCTCGGGGGAGGAAGCGGTGGGCTTGCGGAGGTGGAGCCCCTTCAGCTCGATACACACCTTCAGCTTCCTCACCTCTTCATCATCATCATCATTAGTAGTAGGAGCCGTAGGTTGCTCACTGCCCCACAGCACACACACATCTACGGACCCAGAGAGTGGGCATTATTGGAGAACAAACACACACACACACACACACACACACACACACACACAATAGGACACATACAGACACACCCACACTTACAGACACAGGAGTACAACATAAACAGACACACGCATGCATGGACACACATACACACATACACACACACGCATGGACACACATACACACATAGAGACAAAAAAGACACAAGGCCCACTCTCACAAGCTGATGAGCTGTACAGCCTCATGTAAGCTACACTTTAAGCATAGGCAAAGCCTTTGTGTGTGTGTGTTTGTGTGTTTGTGTAAGAGAGAGAGAAAGAGAGAGTGAGGGGGGCGGAAAGAGAGAGAGAAGTGTGGGGGGGGGGGGGGGGGGGGGGGGGGGGGGGGGTTCTCAAATGCCCCAGGGAGGAATAGCCCTCTCGCCTGCCAGCACTGGGAGAGCGAGTGCAACCACATGCCAAAAGAAAAGGGGAAAAATAACAGAAACCCAAACACGCAAGGGAAGAAAGAAAGGATATGAAAAGAAAAGAGCAGCTTTGAAGGTAGTGGTAGAGGAATGGAGAGAATGGCTGTCCTGCTCCCTCCCTTCTCCCTCTCTCTCTCTCAAAGACAGGATTAAACACTTCTCTCACTCCTCTCCTCTCCTCTTGTGTGTTCTCTCTCTCTCATGCTCTATCTTCACTGAACTGGCTGCCACACAGAGAGAGGGATGGGACAGAGAGAAAGAGAAATGAAGGACAATGGTTGTGGGAGAAAAAGGAGAGAGGGTTGGAACAGACAGAGGGTTGAAAGAGAGAGGCAACAGAGATGGAGGGGGGAGAGAGAGCCAGACAGAGCAAGAGAGATTGGACACCTACGGTGATGAGGCAAAGAGAGAGGGGTGAGAGGAGGGACAGAGAGAGGGGTGAGAGGAGGGAGAGAGAGAGAGGGGTGAGAGGAGGGACAGAGAGAGAGGGTGAGAGGAGGGGCAGAGAGAGGGGTGAGGAGGGAGGGACAGAGAGAGAGGGGTGAGAGGAGGGGCCAGAGAGAGAGGGGTGAGAGGAGGGACAGAGAGAGAGGGGTGAGAGGAGGGGCAGAGAGAGAGGGGTGAGAGGAGGGGCAGAGAGAGAGGGGTGAGAGGAGGGACAGAGAGAGAGGGGTGAGAGGAGGGGCAGAGAGAGAGGGGGTGAGAGGAGGGGCAGAGAGAGAGGGGTGAGAGGAGGGACAGAGAGAGGGGTGAGAGGAGGGACAGAGAGAGAGGGGTGAGAGGAGGGACAGAGAGAGAGGGGTGAGAGAGAGACAGAGAGAGAGGGGTGAGAGGAGGGACAGAGAGAGAGGGGTGAGAGGAGGGACAGAGGGAGAGGGGTGAGAGGAGGGACAGAGAGAGAGAAAGGGTGAGATGGAGAGAAAAGGCTGAAAGAGCCACATTGACACGGGTCGATAAGAGAAAACTACATCCCCCACACTCACCTGAAGTCATCCTGGCCTTCTCTGAGCTATTTCCTCCTTCCTCCTCTCCCTTCTGTAGGCTGTGTGTGTGTTTCCTAATGGCTACCATGCCCTGCACACCCTTCTCCTGGGGGTGCCCGTCTGCCGGTGCCAGTACTGGGGGTGAACATCGCCAACCCTCGCCCTCTCTAGCACCATCTCTAGCCCCCTCCCAGGCCTCCTGTCCTGGGTACAGGCTCTCCCTCTGGCCCCCACACCTCTGTAGGACTGGGACTCTGTTGTTCCCATAGTCCTGCCTTCCACCTAGACCAGGGAGGAAGACCGAGAGTGGAGAGAAGGAAAGGGGGGGAAGCGGAGGAGAAAGAAGCCACGGAGAGAGGGGAGAGATGGAGGGTGCCGAGAGAGTGAGGGAAAGCGAGAGAAAGAGAGGAGGAGAAAGAGTGAGAGAAGGGCTGTTAAACAGCAGCCAACGTTTATTCTCTTCTAAAGACAGGCTATAAAACTTTGATGGTGTAAAGAGTGTCAGTGGAGCTAACAGTCTAACCATTCACACCGGCGCTGCCACTATGGAAAAGAGGGAGAGAGGGAGAAAGAGAGAGAGGGAGGGAACAAGAGGATTTATTTTTATTTAGGACGAAAACACTCCATTCTCTCCCTCTCTCCTCCCCCATCCACCCCCTGGCATGACCCTGCCACGCCCTTCCCACACTGAGCGTGACGCTCGCTCTCCCTTTCTCTCCCTCTCTCTGCCATAATTAGGCTCCCACGTCAGTCCAGGGCTCGCTTCAATACACAGCTGGGCTCCCCGCCAACACAAGTAACCCCCCCCTCCATCCCTCTTGCTCTCTCTCTCTTTCCCTCCCTCGCACTCTCTCCCTCTCTTTCTCTGGCACACTCTCTATTCCTCGCTCACTCCCATTCTTCTCTCCCATTCGCTTTCACTCGCTAACTATTCCTCTTCCCTCTCTATAACTTGCTTTGGCTCACCCCTCAGCTCTCCCCCTCCTCCTCTCCACCATTCACTCGATCTCTGCCTCATCCTCTTTATCCTCTCTCCATACAGATAAGCACAAAATGCTCCTTAAAAATAAGACTCTCTCCCCATGTCTCTCTCGTTCTCTCACTGTGTGTGTGTGTGTTGTGACCAAACCCTGCCTAGCTGAGTTTTGCTGTAAGTGTGTGTGTGTGCGTGTGTGTGTGTGCGCATTGGGTTACTCACCCTCGCTCTCTCCCTGCCTGGCGGTGTGTTGGCAGTGTTCCCAGTCTCTCTCTCTCCGCTGGCGGTCTGCCAACTCCTGTCCTGCTACCGCTGTCGACGCAGACACACACACACCCCCGCACTCCTTCTCCTTCAGCTCCAGCTCCGAGAACCGCATCATCGCCCGCTAAACACACACACACACACAACATACACAGAGACACACACAGAGAAAACAGCCATGAAACCCACTAACCGTCTAGCCCGCGCCGCACACACCTCTCTAAACCTCAATCTGGGCTGAACGACTACCGAAGCAAACAACAAGATCACATTGTGTCAAAAAAGGAGGCCAAAACAAAACAGAACAAAGAGAGAGATAAATGAACAAGCATGGCACATCCAGACACGGTTAGGTTAGACTAGTGCAGTCAGCCACGGTGAGTCCATGCGATCGCTCTTGGGCCCTAGTTCCTGCCATCTCCCTTCCTGAAACATGAACACAGCTAGGAAACACATACGGCTAGCCCTGAGGCTCACAGAGAGAGAAAGAGAAGGAGAAAGAGAAGGAGAGAGAGAGAAAAAAGAAAGGGAGGGCGCGAGAGAGAGAGAGAGAGAGAGAGAGAGAGAGAGAGAGAGAGGGAGGGCGAGAGAGAGAGAGAGAAAAGGAGGACGCAGTACAGAGCAAGTGAGAGAAAAATAAATAGGGAGCTGATAGAGGGCAGAAGGGGAGAGAAAGCCTGTCTGAGGGGTAGAGTGTGATAAAGAAATGTAAAGAACTGACCTCCCAGTTAGCTGCAGGTTGACTTATATTACTCCCCTCTCGTGATATGACTTCCATCTAAGCAATTAGAACGGGGGGCTCAATATATCTGTCCATCATTTCAATATATCTGTCCATCATTTTCATATCTGTCCATCATTTCAATATATCTGTTCATAATTTCAATATATCTGTCCATCATTTCAATATATCTGTTAATCATTTCAATATATCTGTCCATCATTTCAATATATCTGTCCATCATTTTAATATATCTGTTAATAATTTCAATATATCTGTTCATCATTTCAATATATCTGTCCATCATTTCAATATATCTGTCCATCATTTCAATATATCAGTCCATCATTTTAATAATTTCAATATATCTGTCCATCATTTCATGTAGGTATTGTATGTTAAAATGTATTTCTCCACGTCTTTGCAACCCCCTTTCTCAACTCCAGGCCTCTGGGTCCACAGAACTGCTGGTTTTTCTTCTTCCCCACTAATCAAGGATTGGCCAATCATTGACAATAATCAATCAATCAATTAACTACCATGACGGAAAACCAGTAGTACTGAAGACCTGGAAGCTGGGATTGAAGCACCCCTGTTATACACATACAAAATCTAGTAGCCACAGTCCCACCAAGCACACACAAACATAATCAAATCAAACCAGTGAGTCGATCTATAAACACATTATAAAACTATCAAACCCTTGTTTTCTGAACTGATTTTTTAATTACAATGGGGGGGAATTGTGTGTATATAATATAACTTAATTGAGTTATTAAGATGATAGTAAACGTGCAGAAATCTAGCATTTGAAAGCTTTGTTTTCCAGCTCTGTATCAGCAATCATAACCAGATGGTTCAAAGGCATGTTCACAACATATGGACAGACGGGTGGAACCAACCAGTAACATAAATGTGCCTCTGCCTTATTCAGATACACCATAATAGGTGTGTGTGTCTAGCCAGAAATGGTATACACATGTGTTTTTAATCTAATCTAACTAGAACCACTGATGTTGGTCTATAATAAGTAGAAAAGTAGATGCAGTGGATGATCACTCAATAATGCAGCACAGGTGGAATGGGTTCAATCGTGCAGCACTGAATCAGTGTTTGAGTATATAGCATGCGTGTGTTTGTCCATGTGTTCAATGTGTGTGTGTGCGTGTGTGAGAAGCCAGGCACTAATAGCCATTGGGGAGGGATGTGTGACCTTGGACAAGGCCAGGGTGGGTGGGGGGTGGTTGGAAGGGTGGAGGGGTGGAGGGGACTTTATAAACAAGGAACCCCATCCATCCACCTTTCAGCCCCTCTGGCTCACCTTGGGGTTAAGCACAGCAAGAGGCAGGGTGAACCATGAGGCTCCCCCCCCCCCCCCCCAGAGCAGAGCACGCTAACAACTTAACCATTGTTGCCTAGACAACTCACAGGGCAAGGTTAACCTATCACTGACTGTCAACAGGCTTAAAATGTCCTCTCATAAACTCAGAGGCAACAGCTAAGGGCTGGGATAAGCCTATAACTCTGGACTAACCCCGCCCTAGTTCAGATATGGGGAGCAGGTGTCTGATACATAGTCTGATTCTAAGACATCTACAGTGGGGAGAACAAGTATTTGATACACTGCCAATTTTGCAGGTTTTCCTACTTAGAAAGCATGTAGAGGTCTGTAATTTTTATCATAGGTACACTTCAACTGTGAGAGACAGAATCGAAAACATAAATCCAGAAAATCACATTGTAGGATTTTTAATGAATTTATTTGCAAATTATGGTGGAAAATAAGTATTTGGTCAATAACAAAAGTTTCTCAATACTTTGTTATATACCCTTTGTTGGCAATGACACAGGTCAAACGTTTTCTGTAAGTCTTCACAAGGTTTTCACACACTGTTGCTGGTATTTTGGCCCATTCCTCCATGCAGATCTCCTCTAGAGCAGTGATGTTTTGGGGCTGTTGCTGGGCAACACGGACTTTCAACTCCCTCCAAAGATTTTCTATGGGGTTGAGATCTGGAGACCGGCTAGGCCACTCCAGGACCTTGAAATGCTTCTTACGAAGCCACTCCTTCGTTGCCCGGGCGTTGTGTTTGGGATCATTGTCATGCTGAAAGACCCAGCCACGTTTCATCTTCAATGCCCTTGCTGATGGAAGGAGGTTTTCACTCAAAATCTCACGATACATGGCCCCATTCATTCTTTCCTTTACACGGATCAGTCATCCTGGTCCCTTTGCAGAAAAACAGCCCCAAAGCATGATGTTTCCACCGCCATGCTTCACAGTAGGTATGGTGTTCTTTGGATGCAACTCAGCATTCTTTGTCCTCCAAACACAACGAGTTGAGTTTTTACCAAAAAGTTATATTTTGGTTTCATCTGACCATATGACATTCTCCCAATCCTCTTCTGGATCATCCAAATGCACTCTAGCAAACTTCAGAAGGGCCTGGATATGTACTGGCTTAAGCAGGGGGACACGTCTGACACTGCAGGATTTGAGTCCCTGGCGGCGTAGTGTGTTACTGATGTTAGGCTTTGTTACTTTGGTCCCAGCTCTCTGCAGGTCATTCACTAGGTCCCCCCATGTGGTTCTGGGATTTTTGCTCACCGTTCTTGTGATCATTTTGACCCCACGGGTGAGATCTTGCGTGGAGCCCCAGATCGAGGGAGATTATCAGTGGTCTTGTATGTCTTCCATTTCCTAATAATTGCTCCCACAGTTGATTTATTCAAACCAAGCTGCTTACCTATTGCAGATTCAGTCTTCCCAGCCTGGTGCAGGTCTACAATTTTGTTTCTGGTGTCCTTTGACAGCTCTTTGGTCTTGGCCATAGTGGAGTTTGGAGTGTGACTGTTTGAGGTTGTGGACAGGTGTCTTTTATACTGATAACAAGTTCAAACAGGTGCCATTAATACAGGTAACGAGTGGAGGACAGAGGAGCCTCTTAAAGAAGAAGTTACAGGTCTGTGAGAGCCAGAAATCTTGCTTGTTTGTAGGTGACCAAATACTTATTTTCCACCATAATTTGCAAATAAATTCATTAAAAATCCTACAATATGATTTTCTGGATTTCTTTTTCTCATTTTGTCTGTCATAGTTGACGTGTACCTATGATGAAAATTACAGGCCTCTCTCATCTTTTTAAGTGGGAGAACTTGCACAATTGGTGGCTGACTAAATACTTTTTTTCCCCACTGTATATGAAGACATATTGTCTCTCCAAACTACAAGGACCTGCTATGACCCGCTAAAATGAGTGGCAGAATTGACCAGAGTAGTGGGTTTGATTCCTGCATGGACCACATGGGAACTGAAATGTAAACTGTAAAAGGCTTCAGATAAATGGGTCATGTTTATCATCACATCCACAGTTGCTGCCCGCCACCCTAACCCAACTACGGCCGCAGTTCTCTCAACTCACCTGCAGGGCTCGCTGTTCCCGACTCAGCTTGCTAGAGTCTGCATACAGCTCGGTGGTGACACATTTGATGCGGTCGCCCACGTAGCCTGAAGAGTTAGCGATCCTCTTGGTCAGGCTGGTCCTCCGTGAGCCTCTTCGTCCACCCTCTTCGTCCTCATCCCCCTCTCCATGTGACTCCTCTGTGTCTCCAACGCTCCCTCCTTCTATTTCACTCTCCTTCCCCAGGTCCATGTAGCGATGGATGGGTTGGGAGAAAGGTTGTCTGTCCATCTCTTCTCTCTCCTCTCCAGATGTGCGGTCGCAAGATGATGTGCAATGTCTAGACGTGCGGTTGCCAGACATGCGGCCACGATCCCCAGTTGTACGGTCTACTGCTGTGCGGTCATAATCTCCAGAAGTACGGTCTCCCATCTTGCGGTCGCCAGACGTGCGGTCCCCAGATGTGCGGGCACAGCGCAAGGTGCTTTTGACCTGCTCCCCCTGGTCCCCTGGGTCTGAGGAAGGGCTCTGGTCCTCAGGGCTCTCCTCGGCCTGAGTAACCAGTCCTGGGGAGCCCTGAGGTGGGCTAGAGGCCACACCCGGACAGCCCGTCTCCTGGAGGGGCCTGGGCCTCATACAGGTGGTCTCTGGTTGTCTGTCTGTGTGGGTAGTTCTCAGGGTGGAGCTTGGGCTGGGGTGGTGATGAAGATGATTATGAAGAAGATGATGATGATGCAGTTGGTGTTCTGGCTCCAGCTTCACTTCCCTCATGCTTTGGCCACACTTGTGTTGGTTGCCCCTGGCGATGGGAACGATGACAGGGAGTGGCGGCTTGTTGGCGGTCGGCGTAGACTCTCCATCTGTGTCGGAGTGTACGAGGTCAATGCAGACGATTCTGTCTTTGGAAGGAATACTGGTGCTGGAGGAGGAGAGGGTTCTGGGCTGGCTCCCTCCCCGCTCCCCTGCATCTTTATTGCGATTCACATGGGACCCCTCCCCTGTCTCCACATCACTCCGGCCCCTGTGGGACCCACCAAAATCCTCTGTGAGTCCCCTAGGTTTGTCCTGGCCCTGGCCACGGGACTTGGGCCCCTGATCTACCCGCTCCTGGGCTTTAGATTCTGGGTGTGTGTGCATCAGAGGGTGGGCCATCTCCTGGGAGTTGTAGGTGAGGTACTCTCCAGCATGGTAGGGTAAGGGGTGTTTGGCTGCCAGGTGGGAGGGGTAAAGGCTGTTACTGCCAAGCAGGACGGGGTGAGGGTAGGCCGGGCCCTTCCCTGGCAGAGGGAGAGAGTGGAGGGCCATGCTGTCGGGTACAGAGTAGTGCAGGTATCGGTTGGCGTAGGCCATGCTGTGAGGTAGGTAGGCCTCGCTCTGGGGCAGGTAGAGGTGGCTGGGTGGGTGCCCATTGGCATTCTCTAGACAGGGACGTTTATTATATGGAGACACCTCCTGGGACGTCTCAGCCCTCTTGGGGGCTTTGGGGGGCTTCTCTGTGAAGTTCCTATGATGGCCGGCCATGGGGGAACGTTCTGATTGGCTGGGGCTGTGTTTGGGCCAATCATTATTGGGTTTGGGGGACAGGGGTATTGTGGAAGGAGGATTGAGATTGGAAGGTATTGGGGTAGTATTTGGCTCTCCTACCCTGGGGCAGGATGGGCTGCGTTGCTGGGGCTGGGGCAGGACTCTCTCCAGAGCCTTGTGTTTGATGACGGAGGGAGAGGAGCCTTTCCCTTGGGTGTCTGGGCTGGGCCTGGGGGATGAGGACAGGGCTGGGGGGTGGGGGTGTGCGTGGGTGGACCCAATGGTGGAAGAGGGTGTAAGGGTGGGCACCACCCAGGAGGAGTGCAAAGTGCTGATCATCTCTGGGGCTTTGGAGGAAGTGCTGCTGACCACTGAGGGGGAGTGGCAGGGTTGGGAGGGGGGTGAGAGGGAGAGGGTCTCTTTCAGGCGCTCCCGGCTCGGGGGATGTCCGTACCGAGGCCCCGGGGACCCCAGAGTCTCCATCTTCACAGGGAAGCCGTTAGGAGGCAGGCCTAACTCCAGCAGCCTTCCAGAGAGGTCCAGAGGCTTTGGGTCTGCTGGGTCTTTGGTAGTCGGGGGCTGGTTCAGTGGGGCTGGCCGCTCAGAGGATAGTTTAGAAGGGGACTGACTGGGTCTCTTCTCACATCCCCCAGCCCTGTGATCCAATGCCCCATCCCTGGGTCTGGGTTTGTGGGGGCTGGGCCGGGCGGGGGAGGGGTGCTCTGGAGCCATGCTGCTCACATAGAACGGGTGAGGCATCGTCTGGGAAGAGGAGGAGGAAGAGGAGGAGGAGGAAGATGATGGTACTATTCTAGAGACTGGCCTCTGTAGGTCCAAGGTGCTGTCGATGTGAGGGGGAGGCAGGGGAGGAGCAGGCTGGGGGAGGCGAGAAGAGGCGCGAGGGGAGGAATCAATGGGAAGGCTACTACTATTACTATTACTCCCACCACTGCTACCACCACTACTACTACTACTACCACTGCTGTTACTGGCTCCTTTGTTGGAGGGTGGTCTACTGGGCTTACTGCTCCTGCTGGGGGGTCTGTCTCGGTCTCTGTCTGTGTGGGGGGGGGAGAAGGTGTTGGGGTGGAGGGGGAGGCTGGTGAAGCTGCTGCCCAAACGGAGAGCCCTCGTGGTGGATGCGAGACCTGACACTCAACCCCTTCTCCTGGCAGTGCACCATGGAGGTGGGGGCCACCGATACCGCTGGGATCCTCATGGGAGACCCCACCAGGGGGGAGGAGATGGGGGACGGGGGGTAGGGGGGCATGTAGTAGAGCCTCTCGGCGGCGGAGGCAGCAGCAGGGTTCATGTTACCCCCCTGGGAGGCACAGAGGGACTGGTAGGCCAGGTGCTGGGGCAGGTAGGGGCTGGGCTGATTGAGGAACTGGGCCTTGTACATGCTGAGGGCCGCATACTTGGAAGAGTCCATATAGGGGTAGAGGCCCGCCTCGGGGTACAGCCCCCGGCTCAGCCCCCAGGGCAGACGCAGGTACCCGCCTGCTCCAGCACCAGCACCCCCCAGGCCCAGCTCTGAGAGCTTCTCCCCCCCAGGTCCCACACCTCTCCTGTCCAGCCCTTCTGGCCCCCTATGAAGGCTTGGTGGAGGGCTCTTGTACATGTCATGGTAGCCGTTGGTAGGCTTGCTCCTGTCCATGGAGACGTCAGGCTTGTAGAGGAGGTCTGGAAGGCCGTCCCGGTTGTAGCTGAGGGCGGTGGACCCCTCGCGGGGCTTCTCGGCCGACAGCGCTCGGATCCCTGGGTAGACCACGCCGCCATGCATGCGGAGGCCGTCCCGCATCAAGGCATTGCGGTCCAGCCCCATGGCGGCCAGGGGGGTTAGCCTGGCATCCACCTACAGGAGAAATAGCACAGGTTAAAACCTGTTATAAATGTGTTATATCCAATTTTATATATCTTGTTGATTTTATTTATTTTAATGCATTAGTCTCTCAGGTGCACTGTTTATTGTTTTATTATTTTAATTTGTCTCGTTTTTAACTTTCCCAACTTGTTTATCACTTTGAAATGCATCCCCTGGAAGAAATGTGCTCAATAAATAATTTGATTTGATGATAGACAATATTATACACATAATACACAAGGTTTACACCTATTCAACTGGTTATACACCACTCTTCAACTGGTTATACACCACTCTTCAACTGGTTATACACCACTCTTCAACTTGTTATACACCACTCTTCAACTGGTTATACACCACTCTTCAACTGGTTATACACCACTCTTCAACTGGTTATACACCTCTTCAACTAGTTATACACCACTCTTCAACTGGTTATACACCACTCTTCAACTGGTTATACACCTCTTCAACTAGTTATACACCACTCTTCAACTGGTTATACACCTCTTCAACTAGTTATACACCACTCTTCAACTAGTTATACACCACTCTTCAACTGGTTATACACCACTCTTCAACTGGTTATACACCTCTTCAACTAGTTATACACCACTCTTCAACTGGTTATACACCTCTTCAACTAGTTATACACCACTCTTCAACTGGTTATACACCTCTTCAACTAGTTATACACCACTCTTCAACTGGTTATACACCTCTTCAACTAGTTATACACCACTCTTCAACTGGTTATACACCTCTTCAACTAGTTATACACCACTCTTCAACTCGTTATACACCTCTTCAACTAGTTATACACCACTCTTCAACTGGTTATACACCTCTTCAACTAGTTATACACCACTCTTCAACTGGTTATACACCTCTTCAACTAGTTATATACCACTCTTCAACTGGTTATACACCTCTTCAACTTGTTATACACCACTCTTCAACTGGTTATACACCTCTTCAACTTGTTATACACCCCTCTTCAACTTGCCTTATACACCTCTTCAACTAGTTATACACCCCTCTTCAACTAGTTATACACCACTCTTCAACTGGTTATACACCTCTTCAACTTGTTATACACCCCTCTTCAACTTGCCTTATACACCTGTAGCATGTTACAGTATCCACACACGGTATGACTTTACTTGTGTGAGGTATGAGGCTATGGTTAACGTCGCTTAACCTTATTATAAACAGTGTTATAACACTAATACACATCTCATACACGGATGACGCACCATGCTTTGTGTGATGTGGTTGCCTTCTCTTAAATCCAGGTTTCTCTGGGTCCCCGCATCACTAACAGGTACTCTCCTAGAAAGAGAAAACACATGGTCAGAATAATTTGTACACACACACACACACACACACACACAGTGGTGTGGCAGTGCTCGAGTTAATGACAAGCTTAAAGGCTTGAGTTTTCAATAGCACCAGCAACACACCAGGCTGAGAAAGAGAGAGAGGTGGGAGGGGCAGAAAGGTGGGGAGAGGGTTTGATGTATCTGCTATAGCAACATCTATCACGACCCTCTCACACAAACACACGCACACACACACACTCACATGCCCGCCAGCTGAAGTAGCCCCCCCCCCCCCCCCCCTCCACCCACCCAGGGAGTAGACAACGTGCATTGTGGGGCCCAGGCCATTCAGTCACGTTCTCCAAACACTCGTTTTCACTTGTTCGCTCTGGCCTCCTTGACCCTCTCTCTCTCTCTCCCTCTTTCTCTCCCTCCATTCTGCCTGCCAGCTAAGCGAGGGATGATCATAGTTCACAGACTGCTCCAGTGGGAGGCCATTCAACCTCTGCTACAGAGCAACGGATCGTACACACACACACTAATTAATAAACAAACTCCATGGTCATGTATTTCTAAACCCAGACTAGGAAAGTGTTCTCTTCTTAGTTAGCCCACACAGTAGAAAATGGCCCAAAACCGGTCTCTCACACACACACAGCGTCAGAACTTAATACACACTTTGTCGTGACCTGTGTATGGTGAAAGTGCTGGTAGCGACTAGCGAGAGGTCCCTATATAGCCAAGTCAGTCAGTCAGTCAGTCAGTCAGTGAGTGAGTGAGTGAGTGAGTGAGTGAGTGAGTGAGTGAGTGAGTGAGTGAGTGAGTGAGTGAGTGAGTGAGTGAGTGAGTGAGTGAGTGAGTGAGTGAGAGAGAGAGAGACATACTCAGCTCCTCCATCATTGGAAAGAAAGGCGTCTGTGGCTCGAGCAGCCGCGCCACCGGCATGCTGCTTTTATTACAGTGACCCCAAGCTCATTAATCACCCTCTCCCTCGCTCAACCTCTCCCTCGCTTGCGCAGCTCCTCCCTTCCCCCTCTTCTTCCTTGCCTGGAGGCTTGAGCACAACCGAATCCTGCCTGCCTGGCCTGCCCGAACAACATCTGCATGAGATGAAACTGAGAACTCAGAACTCTTAAGGTGCCCGCATACTAGGTTCGGTTTGCTCCTAGCAGAAGAACTTGGCTAGACGAAGTGAATGTCTGTGCTTCGCATACTCCCTTTAACTAGAGACATTCGCTTGAAAAACAAGAAAGAAGCTGACTGTTTGTCCCTCTTGAGACACCATAGCAACAACATAGCCAGTATACACTTCCTCAAAAAAGTCTGAATTAATCTAAGAAAAATCAAGAAATCTGCAATAGATTTTTACGTTTTTGCCAAGGAGGTCTTAGTCGCGTAATTTTACATTTAACTAAGATTTTTGTGCATTATGTCTCAAGTGACTAGTAGTCTCTCGTTGAATGAAAACAAACACTTAATTGAAGAATCCCATCCATAGTTCCCACTCTTACTAGGAGTAGTACTGTTGACCAATCACTGACGAAGGGGTGTCGACTCCGGCTACCAAACTTAGACAGCCGGAAAAAAAACCTGCCCAGGGCCGGCGCCAGAACGAATCAGTTGGAGGGGCATTTGATTTCCATAGGGGGGCAGATTTTTTTCATGGGACCTCCTATGTGTGTACGCGTTTGCTCGTGCACTAATTATTTTAACACTAGAACTGCTGGGCCTCGAGGGACCCCCCTTCAAGCTAATTGTGACTGCAACATTCTAACAGTGTAATTAATACATTTCAAATATGCTATCACTAAAACAACTATGAAACAGAAAGCATATGTTTTGGAACGCGGTAACAGCTTCTTTTAATAACAATATAATAAAACAAATATGTAATCACCAATTGTGAATGAAGAACAGGGCGGGCCATTCTATTGTGTTATTATATGGCGGGACGGGACATGCCATACTCTTTTGGTCCAGACAGCATCAGATACATGGGCTACACATACTGAGACAGAGGGGCGCTGTTTCCCTCGCTCTAATGATTTATCTGAGATTGATGCGTCTTTCTGTCGCCGGCGTCTCGGTCAAATAAATTATCAATATTTTAATATTTTATTTGGACGGGCAAGGAGGTACGGTAGGGCGGGCCAGGACCCCTAAGGACGCCCATAATGCTGGCTCTGCCCCTGCCGAACACCAAAACTAACAAAAACGTCACAAATTGTCGTCATAATAATTTATATGCGTGAACTGTTTCCACTGGGAAGCATGTGACAGGCATTATGCCCGGTCATCCCGGATGGCATGGACGTTTTTGTTAGCCCTGTGTGTGTGAGAATCTGCCCGAGAAAGTCTGCAGCCCAAACAGTCAGGATCGTTCTGTTTTACCCGACCCGCCATATCGTCACTTGCACACTGTTTTTTCCATGCACTCACAGGAAACCTTGTCAGGGGGACTGAATTCAGCATTCGGAAGGGGAAAGAGAAAAAGAGTGGAGCCAGATTGTATGTCGACTGAGGAGCATGGAGAGGTTGAGAGGAGAGAATAGAGGGTGGAGGAGAGGTGGATGGATGGAAAGGCAAACTGACCTCTCCTCCATGACCATCCCATACATTTGGGCCCTCTCGTGACTCATCCATGGGGGAACCGTTCCGTACATCTGTGTAGCGGAGAGCATGTCATTCCCTCATGGGACGCCGGTATACAGTCCGTCTTAAAACACCTCCAACCGACCACCGCTCTGCAAGACAGTTAAAACCAGACGGTGCTATGACGCTCTCCATCGGTCCATCCATGTAGGCCTAAACTCACAATGTTAAGCAATAAACCACATTAAAAGCCTACATAAAATAGCAGAATGCATTAGGCCTACACAGAAACCTGTAGGTGTGGGGTTACAGGTTTCGATTGTTCAATTGGCTCAAGGAATTGGCAACACGAGATCGATTAGGGCAAACGGGGTTCAAAATCAAATCAAATGTTATTGGTCACATGCGCCGAATACAACAGATGCAGACTTTACCGTGAAATGCTTACTTACGAGCCCATTCCCAACAATGCAGAGTTAAAAAGTAAGAAGAATATTTGCACACAAAAAATAGTCACAATAAAATAATAACGAGGCTATCTATATACAAGGAGTACCCGTACCAACTTAATGTGCAGGGGTACGAGGTAGTTGAGGTAATACAGTATGTACATGTAGGTAGGGGTAAATGTGACTAGGCAATCAGGATAGATAATAAACAGAGTAGTAGCAGAAGCGCGTGTGAAGAGTGTTAAAGTGTGTCTATATGTGAGTGTGTGTGCAGTGGTGGAAAAAGTACACAATTGTCATACTTGAGTAAAAGTAAAGATACCTTAATAGAAAATGACTCAAGTAAAAGTGAAAGTCACCCAGTAAAATACTACTTGAGTAAAAGACTAAAAGTATTTGGTTTTAAATATACTTAAGTATCAAAAGTAAATGTAATTGCTAAAATGTACTTAAGTATTTTTTTAAAATCATTTCAAATTCCTTATATTACGCAAACCAGACGGCACAATTTTCTTTTTTCTTTATGGATAGCCAGGGGCACACTCCAACACTCAGACATAATTTACAAAGCATTTGTGTTTAGTAAATCCGCCAGATCAGGTAGTAGGGATGACCAGGGATGTTCTCTTGATAAGTGTGTGAATGTAAAGAGTACTTTTGAGTGTCAGGGAAACTGTATGGAGTAAAAAGTACATAATTTTCTTTAGGAATGAAGTAAAAGTAAAAGTTGTCAAAAATATAAATAGTAAATTAAAGTACAAAGTACTTACTTAAGTACTTTCACCACTGTGTGTGTGTCTGTGTTGAAGTGTCAGCGTAGTATGTGTGAGTAGAGTCTAGTGAGTGTGCATAGACCGGTGCAAGAGAGTCCGTGCAAATAAAACACACAATTATACAAAATTATTCTAATAATGAAGAGGGTCAATGTAAATAGTCCAGGTAGCGCTTTGATTAACTGTTCAGCAGTCTAATGGCTTGGGGGTAGAAGCTGTTCAGGAGCCTTTTGGTCCCAGACTTGGCACTCCCTGGTTCCACTTGCCGTGCAGTAGCAGAAAGAACAGTCTATCATTTGGGTGGCTGGAGTCAATTTTCAGGGCCTTCCTCTGACACTGCCTGGTATAGAGGTCCTGGTTGGCAGGGAGTTCGGCCCCAGTGATATACCCTCTGTAGCGCCTTGCCCAAATAGCCAATGCACTGTGTAATGTTCAATAGCCTATTGACCATATCCATTGGCACAAAATCCTCAACAATGTGCGCAAACACACACTACTACAGATACCAATTGAGTGGTATTTTTTAAGGTTAAGGTATTTTTTATGTATTTTCTAAGCCTATAAATGTTTATATATATTATATGTTTAAAATATAGATATTTAATATATAGGCTATATATTTAAAAAGTGTTTTAGATATTTCCTAGGATAGACAAAGATAATGGCAGCTTTAGCCATTTGTCACGTCAAGGGAGGGTTTCTCTATATTTCTGTAGACCTATAAGGGTAGGCTATATGCTACGTGTCCACCATGCCTAGGCTGTAACTGATTTACAGTGTCCGAGGCTGGAATGTTTGACAGCTACGCCTCTTTACAATACACAGGTGAATAGTAAAAGAACTAGCTGCACATCTTTGAAGAGCTGGTTGTGTGTGTGTATGTGTGTGTGTGTCCAGTGTGTGTGTGTGTGTGTGTCCAGTGTGTGTGTGTGTACAACAGGAGGAAAAGCCAGACCACGTCGACGCCCATCCCCGGTGCTAAGAATAGTTTGCACAACAAACATCTCCCGACGGCAATCCATCAGGCCGTAGCCAGGCGGCAGGCAGACCGGAGAGGGGTAGCCGGGCTACGTTTATAAAACAGACCGCTGGAGCGGAGCACGATTCGCACCATTAAACCACCGGGTGTTTTTAGCAAGCCTCATAACCTGCAGTCCAGCCATTATTATGTGTTGTGTGGGAGGGATCTGTGCGCACAGACAGACAGAGAGAAATAAAGAAATAAAGAGTGGGGGAAGAGAGAGAGAGAGAGAGAGAGAGAGAGAGAGAGAGAGAGAGAGAGAGAGAGAGAGAGAGAGAGAGAAGGGAGGAAACTGTGGCGCACAAACAATATTGTGAATACCACCTATATTTATTTATTTATCTTCCCCCACGATTCGTGCTACAACTAGTTGCAAATTGCTAAACACTGTACATAGCTGATAATATAACACTTGAAAACGTCTATCTTTTTGGAACCTTTTTGAGAGCAATGTATTTGGTTGATGTTGTTACATTTGTTTCTTCTCACTTGCTTTTATTTCACTTGCTTTGGCAATGTAAACAAAGCCTCTTTGAATTGAATTGAATATGAGCGAGAGAGAGACAGAGAGAGAGACAGAGAGAGAGAAAGAGAGAGCGAGACAGAGACAGAGACAGAGACAGAGACAGAGAGAGAGAGAGAAAAAAAGACCACCAACCAAGAATTCACAAAATGGGACAAACACCAAATTGAGACTCTGCAAAAAATATCCTCTGTGTACAACGTAAAACACCAAATAATGCATGCAAAGCAGAATTAGGCCGATACCCGCTAATTATCAAAATCCAGAAAAGAGACGTTCAATTCTACAACCACCTAAAAGGAAGCGATTCCCAAACCTTCCATAACAAAGCAATCACCTACAGAGAGATGGACCTGGAGAAGAGTCCCCTAAGCAAGCTGGTCCTGGGGCTCTGTTCACAAACACAAACAGACCCCACAGAGCCCCAGGACAGCAACACAATTAGACCCAACCAAATCATGAGAAAACAAAAAGATAATTACTTGACACATTGGAAAGAATTTACAAAAGAACTGAGCAAACTCGCCCTAAACAGAGAGTACACAGTGGCAGAATACCTGACCGCTGTGACTGACCCAAAATTAAGGAAATCTTTGACTATGTACAGACTCAGTGAGCATAGCCTTGCTATTGAGAAAGGCAGCTGTAGGCAGACCTGGCTCTCAAGAGAAGACAGGCTATGTGCACACTGCCCACAAAATGAGGTGGAAACTGAGCTGCACTTCATAACTTCCTGCCAAATGTATGACCATATTAGAGACACATACTTCCCTCAGATTACACAGACCCACAAAGAATTCGAAAACAAATCCAATTTGGATAAACTCCCATATCTATTGGGTGAAATACCACAGTGTGCAATCACAGCAGCAAGATTAGTGACCTGTTGCCACAAGAAAAGGGCAACCAGTGAAGAACAAACACCATTGTAAATACAACTTATATGTATGTTTATTTTCCATTTTGTACTTTAACTATGCACATCATTACAACCCTGCATATAGACATAATATGACACTTGAAATGTCTTTATTATTTTTGAACTTTTGTGAGTGTAATGTTTACTGTAAAAAAATGGATTGTTTAATTCACTTTTGTTTATCATCTATTTCACTTGCTTTGGCAATGTAAACATATGTTTCCCATGCCAATGCATCCCCTTAAATTGAAATTGAATTGAAAGAGAGAGAGAGAGAGAGAGAGAGAGGGCAAACAGTGAGAGAGACCTCAGTTCCAGTCCGATCTCGTTTCCTTTTACCATCACGACTTCAACTCCATCTGACCTGTCATATGGGGAGGAACAATAATGTCCTCTCGGCCAGCACTCAACCAACTCCCCAGGCTGTCCTCCTTTCAGTTGTTATTCCTCAGGAGAGAACAATGGAAGGTGTGTGTGTGTGTGGTAGAGCAGTGGTATGGTCATCAATTCATAAAATACGAGAAAAATCTGGTAAATAAATATATAGTCTTCATTCGCACAACAACTGGCTAAACTGTCTGGAGATTAAACTAAATTTTAATGTTTAGGCTACGTGACATTACTGATATATGTTAAAAACAACAAACACATTATATTGATTTGGGTGGTGTAGGCTATAAATCTGGAAATGTGTTAATTTTTCTGTGTCTGGCATGCTGCTGTGCAAGTCCTTCTCTCTATATCGACCGGCAGGCTCGAGCGAACTGTGACGAGCAGGGCCGGGGGAGTGGGCCCGGGGCCAACTCTCTCTGAAGTGCAGCGGCTCGAGCTCCTGCTCTAAAAAAAAAATGCAGTGTGACGCAGGATAATCTCTGCAGCGACGGGGGCGAGGAGTGAGGATTAACACGGATTAATGCACACACCACTACGCAGGGCTCGGGTTTGTGTGTGTGCACGCTGCCAAAACGAAAAGAAAGCGCATACCACTTGGGATGACCGAGAATAAAACATCGAAAACAAAGCTAAGAAAGGCTTAAAAGTCACGTCTAGAGATTAGCTTTCCTGCAATATATTCACCACTTCAAAATGAAGGCTACGTCTTTGCCCGTAATGCCAGGGGGGGCCCATAATTTGTCTCGTTTAAGGTAATACAAGGATTACAGGTGTGCCTCAATTGTTGGAAGTAAAATAATAGTTCTCAATGGGTCTTTTGATATCTATCACTTTTTTAAAAATTATTTTGTAACATTCATTACCAGGATCATTATGCCGAACAAAGACAACAAATGTAGCAACCCTTTCTCCAGGGTCCTTGTTATCCGGGATCCTACCCCATTGCAGTTGGTTAAGGTTAGGATTGGCAAGGGTTACGGTCATGGAGAGGTCTCCAGTCCCCCAGTTTTC